TGATATTGAGTGTCCTTTCCTGTGCTGCTTGTGGTCAGAGTGTCTTTGTGAAGTGTCTGTTCAGACACTTGTTCAGCAAGTACTTTATAAAGCTTCTCTCTCTCTGTGTCTCTCTGTCTCTCTCTCTTTCTCTTTGTGTGTGTGTTGGTGGAGGCCGGAGGTCAACAGCAAGTGTCCTCCATTGCTCTCTCTAACCCTGGAGCTCACTGACTGGCTCACAAAGGCCCTGGGATTCTTTTCTCCACTTCCTCAGTATGACTTACTTTTTTCCCTTTTTTTTGAGACAGGGTCTCACTCTTTACCCTTAGCTGGCTTGGAAGTTACTATGTAGCCCTGACTGATCTTGAACTGAGCTCACAGAAATCTAGCTGCCTCTGTCTCCTGAGTACCAGAACTAAAGGCATGCATCACTATGCCTGGCTGGCACCTGGCTTTTTACAAGGGTTCTGGGGTTTGAACTCTGGTCCTTATGCTTTGCTTGCATAGCAAGCGCTTTGCCAACTGGGCCATCTTCCCAGCCCCAAAGCTTGTCTCCTAACAGTGTTTTGCAGAGCAGAGTCTTAAATTTTGATGGAGTGTGGTTGGTCAATCCTTTCTCCATCTGCCCATCTCTGCCTCTCCTTCTGTGAGTACTACATGGTCTCAGTTATTATAGATCATGGCATGTCTTGACATCAGGGCAGACGGCTTTCTCTACTGTCCTTTCTTCAGAGTTATTTAGGCTATCTAGTTCCTTTGTACACAGAACTTAAAATCAGCTTGTTGACTTTGGTAAAAAACAACAGCCCCTCTTGGGATCTCAGTGGACTAGTACTGATCAGTTTGAGAAGAATTGACATGTTGCCCACAAGCCCAGCTGTCCATTTCTTTATATTGCTGATCCCTTTCATTGGTATTGGAGGTTTCCTTTTTAAATTATTTCATTTATTACAGGCTGGGAGTGGTGGCTCACACCTTTAATCCCAGCAGAAGCAAGTGGATTTCTGAGTTCAAGGCCAGCTGGGGTTACAGAGAGACCTTGTCTCAAAAAAGAGGAAAAAAAAATTATTTCATTTATTATTATTATTATTATTATTATTATTATTATTATTAGAGTGTGTGTAAGATGGCGGTAGGTGCACTTGTGGAAGTCAGAGGACAACTTTGAAGAGTCTGTTCTCTCCTTCCACCTTTATGTAGGTTCCAGAGATCAAACTCAGGTCACAAGCTTGTGTGGCAAGCCCCCTTCCCCACCAAGCCATCTTGCTGGCCCAGCATTTGAAATTTCCAGCATGAAGATCTGTATTTGCTTTGGATTGAAGTGTTTTATTTGGAGCTATTGTGAGTGGGTGTTTTAAACACTTGACTCCAGTTACGCACTGGGAGTAGCCTGTGGTCCGTGGCTGGTCTTGTAGGTGACCTGGTCTGATGTCTGACCAAGTGACATGTGGCTGGTCTTGAGGTGAGCTGGTCTGATGCTTGACTAAGCGTGCTGGTTCTGGGATCTTGTGTTCATACTTCCTGCATGCCTTAGGTTTGCCAGTGCTCAGTGCAGGTGTCTGCAGGTGGTGGTTTTGTTTTTCCCTTTCCTGCCTTGCCTGTTGGCCTGGGCAGGATAGGGCTATGTTCCTCACAAGGGTGAGCAATCAACTTCTGGTGCTCTTGTGACAGTGCTTTGTCAACGCTTGTCAGCCTGAGGGGTTTCTGGCTTGCTGAAAGTTTTCAGTATGAATGTCAGAATCACCCAGTAAGCTGAACTCTTCAGCTGGCTCTGGCAAACCACCACATCCTCCGGCAGACCAGTCCCAAAGGCTCCCCACATCACTGGATGATATCACAGTAAAAGAACCACCTGGTACCAGCTTTCTGTGCCTATTGGCTTCTGGCATGATAGCAGGCACCCTGAGCCAGCTTAGAAGACCCAGAGATTCAGGGCAGCTTTTAGTTCTGCAGTGAAGTGGCTCACCATGATGGGGACACATGTATAATGAAGCTGCTCACCTCACCCCAGGAACAGAAATCAAAGAGGAAGTCACTGGGTCCCACAGTCCCTAAGGGCATGGCATGTCTCCACCACCCACCTCCTAAAGGTTCTACCATCCAGTGGTGGCAGAGGCTGGGCCTCAAGCCTAAACATGTCTCTTTTGGGAATCTGAACCAAAACACAGCATTTTGATTGAGGTTATATATGTGATTCCCCCTTTATTTAGCTTGTTAATATGGTCAGTTACAGGGACTTTCACATATTGGACCAGACTTACCTCCCTGAAACAAGCCCCCTCTTGGTCATGGTACATTAATTTTCATGTAGTAATAGTTTGGCTTGCAGGTCCTGTGGAAGAACTTTGCATCTGTGTTCATGATGGACATCAGTTTATAGTAATCTTTTCCTGCTCCCTCCCCCCTCTCACCCCTGTCTCTTCTTTCTACAGTCTGGCTGTGTAGCCCAGGCTGGTCTCAAACACTAGATCATCTTGTCTCAGCCTGAGTGCTGGGATTTATAGTTGAGCACCAGCTTGAGTACTGGGATTACAGTGTAATCTCACCCAGCCTTGTCATTTTCTTTTTTGTGCTGTTTTTATATGGTGTTGTTAGTAAGACAATGCCGATCTCATAAGATGAGTTGGGGATTATTCTTTCCTCCTGTTTTTTGTAAAATGTTATATAGAATTCACTTGCTTCCTCCCTCCCTCCCTTCCTCATTTTTTCTGCTGTGGAGATGGAGCCCAGGGTTTCGTGCATGCTAAGCAAGTGCGGGCTCACCCAGCCACACCCCATCCCTTCTTTTAATATCTGTTTGCATTTGCATGGCATTTTCTTTTCAGAACACTTTAAACTGTGGATTTACCTCATAATACTGTTCTGTTCTGGTTTCATCTCTGGAAGCTTTGGTGGTTGGTGGCTCTAAGCATTTGGCTACATTTTGTCCACTCGTGGAGGACTGTGAGGTCTCTAGTTCTCTCTTTCATTCCTGATAAAGAGAATTCTCTGCCCTTTTCTCTTTGTTTGGCTGGAGGTTTTGTGAGTTTTGTCGAGCCTCACAGAGCAGCAGCAGCATCTAGTTATTTTCTCTGTTTCCCATTCCTTCGACTTGCCCTCGGCGTCTCCTCCTCCTGCTGCCTTGGAGTTTGGGGCGCTTCTTTTCTTCCTGTTGTGTAGATGGAGCTCGGCCTGTCCAGTGGAAATAGTCATTTTTCCGAACAGAGGCACTGATCCTCGAACTGCTTCTGCTGTGCCCCACTGATTTGTCATGTTCTATTTCTGTTTTCATTGCAAATACTTTCTAATTTCCTTTGAGACTCTCTTTGACTCATGGATCATTAAGAACTTCATTGAGCTGGGTGTAGTGGCGCAGGAACTAAATCACAGCATTTGGGAGGCAGAGGCAGGCGGATCTGTGTAAATTCAAGGCCAGCCTGGTCTCTATAGTGAATCCAGGCCAGCTATGGCTACAGGGAGACCCTGTCTCAAAAAAAAAAGAGAACCTTATTGAATAAAATCACACTCTGGAAAGTTAACAAAATTAAATATATTTTGTGTAATATTAAAAAAAGAAGAAGAAAAGAAAATAAAATTAAGGTTTTCCAGATTCAATCAATTAGACTAAGCCTCGCAGTGAGAACTGCCTCATTACCACCATACCTTTAGAATATGGAGTCAGTATTTGTAATACTGAATTGTCTTTTAAAGAGATAATGTTACAATATAAATGCATGAGTGATTTGTCATTAAAATCCTGCATTTCAGCATAGTGGTGCATGAGTGGCTCACACCTTTAATCTCAGTGCTTGGGAGGCAGACGCAGGTGGAGCTCTGTGAGTTCAAGGCCAGCCTGGTCTATATAGTGAGTTCCAGGACAGCTGGGGCTACAGGGAGACCCTGTCTCAAGAAGACAAAAAAAAAATCCTTGATTTCGGAAAAAAAAGTTTTAAAAAAGAACCTTATTGAACAAGTTCTCACATAACTGCGGACTCGGTAGTGAGTGGTCTTCCTATCATAGTGCCGTCTCTTACCTGTACTTTCCTATGGTTTTAGTTCTCCAAGTCCTACTATGGTGTGGAAATATTCAGTAGAAAATTCTAGAAAGAAACAGCTCTTACGTTTTCAGTTGTGTGGCAGCCCAGATAGTGTGGTCCTGCTGTGTCCTGAGTCATCCCTCAGTCCAGAGTGGTATGCATGGGGTGCAGCCCTGCTGTGCTCTCCCAGTGCTCACAGTCGGTAGAGAGTCCCCCAGCCCAGCTGGTAGCCTTGGTGGTCCATCAGGAGCTGACCTTGTGTGGCCTGATGGTGACCACAAGTGTTGAGGCCCACTCCTACCTGCCTGTGGCTTGGCTCCTCTATCCCGCTCCTGGGGTGGGGGTGGGGCTTGTCATAAACCAGCCTTTAGGTAGAAAAGTGGTCAGTCTTTAGATTACCTGGAGAAGTTTCTGGAGAGTTTTCCAATGTAGGTGCTGAGTTCCCAAACCTTTGTGGGCCTGTTTGTCTTCATGAGGTTGCTCTGGGGATTCGTATGCATATGCATGTGCATGTGTGTTTGAGTGCATGCATGTATAATGACTGACACAGGTACCTCCAGGAAGGTATGCATGTGCATGGGAAGCAGACATGCAGTATTCTGTAGAGGCAGATCTGGAGACTATGTGCTCACTCCCTGGGGCATACTCCTGGAGCTGCTGGGCTCTGGGCTTGTCTCCAGACTGCCCCTTGTCGTGTGGTTCCAAGGCCTCAGCAGGATGTGGAGGTGGATTCATTCACGCCTACCTCATGGAAGTGGCAGTCCAGGATGAGAGAAGCCAGGCCTAGGGTTAGAGACTGCTTCAACAGCTGAGAGCTGCACCCTGCTGGGGCCAGCACCCTGGCCTTAGGGAGCCTCCCTGTTCTGCAGTTTCACATGCTCAGCTCTCAGATGTCTTTTCTTTGGCCTATCCACTTAACCCCTCACAAGGACCCCTGGGGGCAGCTTCAGCAGGGCCATGTCCATAGTTTTCTGGGCAGCGGGGCAGTGTAGCTACCTGGCTTCCCTGTGCCTTGCAGGTTGTGCACCCTGACCCTGAAGAAGCTTGCAGTGCTCCGGGAACTGGAGAAGGAGCTCATGTCTGTAGTGATTGCTGTCAAGATGCAGGTAAGCCCTTGCCATACACACAGCAGGTGTGGACCCAGACAGCAGTGTTCTCAGAGACCCTCACCCTGCACTCAGCCTCCCTCTCACACAGAACTTTCTTTTGTGCTCACTCAGAGTGAGAGGGTTGGTGGGAGCAGGAACAGGACGCAGGAACTCGAGGACAGCAGCCCTATCCCTCTAGATATGTCCACCAGCCCTTTGGGCCGCCCCTGCCATTTTGGGGAACACCAGGTTCCAGGGCCACTCCCAAGGGACAGGATGTGGCTTTCCACTTCTGAGGGAGCTCTTAGTGGCCCTCTGATGACCCCTTAAAGGTATGTGGTATGTGCATGACAGGTGGCAGGCTACCTCACGCTAGGCCTATGTGGACCTGGGCAAGGGGTACATCTGTGGTTACTGATCTCAGCCCTCTGCCAGGGAGTACCAGGGTTCTGCCGGAGTAGTCCATTTGACTCCTTCCCCAGCCATACTACTTAGAGCTGTTGGAGCAGTGTACTGACCTTGACCCCTAGGATGGGTTCTTACCTGCTGTTCAGGTCTTGTCACACAGGACCCTCCCACTCCATGCAGGACACTCCCCTGTCACACAGGACCCTCCCACTCCATGCAGGACACTCCCCTGTCACACAAGACCCTCCCTCTCCATGCAGGACACTCCCCCACCACACAGGACCCTCCCTCTCCATGCAGGACACTCCCCCACCACACAGGACCCTCCCTTTCCATGCAGGACACTCCCCCACCACACAGGACCCTTTTACTTTGCACTGAGAGGTGTGCTTGTAGTTCAAGGAGGACTGGGGTCCATCCTGACCCTCCACTCAACTTTTTATTCCTGATAAAGAGTTGAGAGACCACTCCTCACTGGAGAATCCGTGGATTCTTGGTGTCCAAGGGGGCAGGCAAGTTGCTGCCTGCTTGGTTGTGTGCCAGACAATCCCTTTATGTCGTCTGCAGTTTGGATCAGTCCCAAAAGTCTCTTGTTCCGCCTGTCCTTGTGACACTCTCTGAGAGGGTCAGTTGGCTACACACACACCTGCACACTGGCCTTACATACGTTGGGTTGTGGCCTGTGCTGTGCTTTGGTTACTGTCACCTTTGGCAGGAGCCATCCCTCCCATTTCCTGGGCAGAACCTAATGATGGAATCAGGTGAAGGATAAGGGCTGTGGCTCCTGACAGAGTCCCCTCTCATTCCTCCCCACCTTGGAGGCCTTTTTCCTGACAGTTCAGAATGCTGGTATAACAATGCCCCTAGCTAGTTAAGTGTAACATGCCAGTCTCTAAATTAGAAGGTATGTTTCCTCTCAGGGCTCCAAACGTGTCCTGAGGTCGCATGAGATTGTGCTGCCCCCTAGTGGACAAGTGGAAACTGACCTGGCCCTGACCTTCTCTCTGCAGGTGAGTCCAGCACCTGGGTAATGGGGACTCTCCCCTGTCAGTGCTCTGAATAGTGGACTCTCCTCCCTGGTGCCCTGAGTGATGGTCAGTGCCCTGGAGGTGATACACTCACTTCCTCCTTAGAGTCTTGGGTGATGGACGTGCCCTTGTCAGAGCCACCTATGTCCCTTTGAGCTTCTCTTCATCAAGGTTTGTTCCTAAATAATTAGAAAGTCTTCTTGGTTTTCTCTTTCTCATTTCTTTGTCATAAAGACAGTGGAAAGAGGAGGTCTCCCTCATTGCTGTAACAAAATACCTGATAAGAAGCAAATTTAAGGGAGAAAGGGTTTATTTGACTTGAGTTTAAAGGCATGTTCCATCATGGCAGTGGGGTACAGGCTGCACGGGCTTGAGGCAGTTGATCACATGGCACCTGCAGCCAAGAAGAAAACAGTGAGTGCTGGTGCTCAGTACTTGGCCTACAGAATGGTATCATCTACACTTAGGGTGGGTCTTCCTACTGCAATAGACATAATCAAGAGAATCTCTCGCAGGCATGCCTGGAGGGTAATCTAGATAACCCTCACAGGAGAGCTCTGAGGCCTGTCTCCTGGGCATTCTAGATCCTATCAAGTTGAGAATCAGTATTAACCATCACAAGGTCTAAATGCCATATTATCAAGTTAGAGTTCATGTTCAGCAGAGATGGGCAAGATTTTAGAAACTCAGTGTATGAAGTTCAAAGCTCTTTGCCTCATGGAGGAGGTGGGCTGTCATCTTATCTCGGCTGCTTCTGGGTTTTGTAGCTGTGTACTTTATGGAGTAGTTTATTGAAGTATAATTTACCAGACACACAAATATGTGTCAAATACTTGACCCAGTGGCTTCCAAGAAGTGGGTACAGGTGAGCAGCCCCTGCAGCCCAGAGGTCAGCTCTGCTCCCATCGTATACTGTGTTCTGTTTGTGAGCTCTGAGAACCTGCCTCTGTTGGATGAATCCTCTGTCACAGGTGAGGGTCCTCAGCATGTGCCACCCACAGCAGGTGACTGTTGTCTGCAGCCTAGCCAGGGGGGTACACAGAGCCACCCATAGGAGGCTTCCCACTCCCACCTATCATGGACTGCCATGCTAGAAATTGTGGCAGAGAAGCTGCCAGGCTATCCCAGACACAGGGCCTATCCCAGATTCCTTAGCAGATAGGCTAGTGTGGAAATGGAGTTCCTTGCACTCTATTGAGGAGACCTCACTGTGTGCAGATTCCTGTGGGTGGATTGAAGAAGGGCCCTGGGGACCAAAGTGGCCCTGGAAGGCCTCAGCAGTGTCAGCAAGTGCTCCTGGCAAACCTTGCTGATTGTGTGGTCCAGGTACTGTGCTGAATCAGGCTTTAGGAGGGCTTGCTTGTGCCCACAGTACCCCCACTTCCTGAAGAGAGAAGGTAACAAGCTACAGATCATGCTGCAGCGCAGAAAGCGGTACAAGAACCGAACCATCCTGGGCTACAAAACTCTGGCTGCAGGCTCCATCAACATGGCTGAGGTAAGTTTCTGGACTGGCATCCAGGGCGCCAGGATACTCTGAACAGGTTTCTCTTACAATTCACCAGAGGACACAAGACTGGGTCTCCCCCACAATATCGGAGGACCACTGTCTGTGGATACCTCCCAGGTCCCTAGTCCTATGCCACATAACATCGCTGCTCCTGTGCTTGTAACCAGGAATACCCCACTTCTCAGCAAAGGACTTGGAACAGTCTTCTCTGGGCTCCTTCCCTAGACTGGCTTCTCTTGATGTCCCCTTGATCCTGACACAACCTCAGCTGTCATGAGCAGATGGACTGAGTCCGTAAGAAAATACCTGAGAACAGCAGCCAGCAACCCTCACCCCCCCGCAAAGGCCCTGGTGTTCTGGGGAGACTTGAGGAGACAGGAGGGGATCCTGAGTAGTGCTGCCTCTGGGCTGAGCAGTTAGACTCTCATAGACCCTCTTGAGCTGCAGGGATGGCCCTGGTCTGAGCAGCAACTCAGCCCTGGCCACTTTATCCCCAAGCCTCAAAACTTCCCTCTCTTGGGGTTCATTCAGTACCTGGGAGCAAGTGCAGTTGTGTTGGTACCCACCTGAGGCTAGCAGAGTAGCTACAAGCCAGGATGTGGCATTATACTGGGCTTGAGGTACCCAAAGCTTCTAGGCTACCTGACACCTAACCAGCCATGTACCTCTTCATCCTCTGCCCTGGCCTGAGTCCCAGGGCTGCCCCATCCATCCGGAACTTGCCTTGCGTGCCTGTCCTCAAGGTTCCCCTCTAATGCCCTAGGTAGTACTGGAGTGACCATCCCAAAGATGCACCTGCCACAGCATCTGTGACTTTAAAATTTCCTAAGGGGCTGGAGAGATGGCTCAGCAGACCAGCTAAGTGTACTGGCTGCTATTGCAGAGGACCTGCTTCAGTTCCTAGCATCTACGTGGTGGCAACTAACAACCACCTGTAACTCCAGTTCCAGCAGGTCCTACACACTGTTCTGGCCTCTGTGGGCACTGCATGCACATGGTACACTGCACTTACATATTTGCAGGCAAAACACTCATAACAATACAAATAAATAAATTTTTAAAAATTTATTTCCAAGCCGAGTGTGGCGGCGCACGCCTTTAATCCCAGCACTCAGGGAGGCAGAGGCAGGCAGATCTCTGTGAGTTCAAGGCCAGCCTGGTCTATATAGTGAGTTCCATAACAGCTGGGGCCACAAGGAGACCCTGCTTCAAAAAAAAGACAAAAATTTTTTTTGTTTTATCTCCTTTGTTTTGGGGAAAGGCCCAGAGCCCTGCCTCCTGTGGCCCATTACCTTTAAGGCTGTCCTCACCCAGTCCCTCTTCAAAGTCCACCCTTGCACCCTTTCCAGCTGCCCTCCTCCAGGTTTTCCAGGTGTATCTCCCGCCTCTGTCCCTAGACCCCTTGTGCCCCAGACCTAGCACAACTCTGCTTAGGGCCCCCAGTTACCAGATCCCTTCTTGTCCTCGAGGTGTCCTGCTATGCGCAGTGGTGTTTTCTACAGTGAGGACTGCAGGCTTTTGTGTTTTCATAAGCACTGGTGAACGTGGATGGAGTCTGGGCCTTGTTGACCTTCCATAGGAGGTGTGGGCTGGGGTTCTGAGACTCAGCTGGATTGTGTCCACAGTCGTGCTGTCACACAGTAGGGGCTCAACATCTGCATGCCTGTAGCCCTTACCTTCTATGAGGGCAGATACTTGTTTTATATAAATTTTGATACCATTTACACAACTGAACCTGGCCTCCTGAGCAATTTCCCATGCACTGAAACTTTTTAAAAATTAAGATTAATTTTTATTATTTTTAATTACGTGTATGTGTGTGGCTATGTGCATGTGAGTGCAGGTGCCCATGGAGGTGTCGAATTCCCTGGGACTAGGGATTGTGAGCCGCTTGACATGGGTGCTGGGAACTGAACCTGGTTCCTTAGCAGAAACAGTATGTGCTTTTAACTCCTGAGCTCTCTCTTCAGCCCCTCTCCCCGATGTTTTTGCTACATTATTTATGTGTGAGTTCGACTATGTGTGCACATGCCATGGTGTGCATGTGGAAGTTAGAGGACATCTTGGCAAGAGTTGGTTCTCTCCTACCACGTGGGTCCTGGGGATTGAATGCAGGTCATCACGCTTGGTGGCAAGTGCCTTCCTCTCCCTGATCACCTTGCCAACCAGCCCTGAAATGTTTGGTTTTTTTTTTTTTCCCTTCATTGTTTGGTGGGCCCTTTAGCCACAGCTGGCCTGGACCTCAGTGTGTAGACCAGGCTGGCCTTAGCCCACCTACTTCTGCCTCCCCAGTTCTGAGATTAAAGGTGTGCACCACCATGCATTCTGAAATTTTTTTAGAACAAACTGGGTTTTGGTGGTTAAGTGGAGGCAGCTGCCCCAGGTTGAATTGGCTCAAGTCCTTTGCTCTGGTAACATAGTGTCACTGGATCCTGATGGTTCAAAGGAAACATATAGACAAAGGCAGGGCTGAGCTGGGCTAGGACCCTCAGCAAGGCCTCAGCTGTGCCCATCTCCTTGGGACCGTACCTGGCCCAAAGGGCACTTGTTAGGTGGGACAGCTAGTGTGGTGTGTTTTTGGCCTTCTGACTGGAGCCAGCCCCTGGCTTACTTGTGGCCCTTTCTCTAGAGAGCAGTAGGCTTCTGGGGTCAGAGCAGGCTTGGCTTCTGAAGGGCTGTCTGTTCCCCAACCTCTCAGTGGAGGACTCCAGAGAGCAGGTTTTATTTTTTATTTTTTGGTCTTTTTGAGACAGGGTCTCCCTGTAGCCCCAGCTGTCCTGGAACTCACTGTGTAGACCAGGCTGGCGTTGAACTCACAGAGATCTGCCTACCTTGAGTTGCTGGCGTGCACCACTACACCCAGCTTTTATTATCATTTTAATTCTTAAACTTATTTTATGCGTATGAGTGTATTGCCTGCGTGTATGTAAATGCACCTGTGTCATGCAATACCTGCAGAGGACAGAAGAGTGTTTTGGATCCCCTGGAACTGGTGTTAGCTACCATGTGGGTGCTGGGAACCGAACCTGGGTCCTTTGTAAGAGCAGTCAGTACTCTTAACTGCTGAGACATCTCTCCAGCCCCAAGAGCAAGTTTTCTAGGGAAGGAGGCTCTGCCTTATCTGGCCTCATGCAAATGTGGGTGTGAGTTGGTATGATGGCTGTGCTGTGCCAACACTGACCTATTTGAAGAGTCAAGTTCATCTGCTCATGCCTAGACCTCCTGGGTGCCCCTTGGACCCTGTGGTTGTTCAAGTGCTGCCAGGGCTCAGCATCCTGAGTGGGTGCTAGCAGACAGACTGCTGTTCTAAGTGTGGGGTCACTCAGAAGTGCATCTGCAGAGACAGATAAGGGATGTCCTCTTGCAGTCAGTGTATACTGCATGTTGTATCCCCTGTGTGCACATGGCACATGAATGTTCCAGATGTGTGAACATTGGCATGGAACTGCTGGCCTGCCTTCTTGATTGGGTTTCTGAAATGATGAAAACAGATGTGAGCATTCTTGAGATTTATTTTCATTACTGATTTGAGTTCTCATCCCAAAGTAGGTCCCCAAATTAAATGTTTTTTGCAAAACATTTATTTGTTTACTTTGTGTGTGTGTGTGTGTGATGTCTGTGTGTGTGATGTGTGTGTGGTGTGTGTGTGTGATGTGTGTGTGATGTGTATGTGTGTGATGTGTGTGTGTGATGTGTGTGGTGTGTGATGTGTGTGTGATGTATGTGTGTGAGTGTGTGTGTGTGTGTGGTGTGTGGTGTATGGGTGCCTGTGTGAAGGTCAGGGGACAACTTGCAGGAGTCGCTTCCACCACATAGATCCGGAGCTCAAACTCAGGTCCTCAGGCTGTGACAGGGACCTTTATCCACTGACAATTCCCTGCCATGGGTAGGTGTTGGGGGCAGAGATATGGCAGAGCCATTAGAAGATGCAGGACGACAGCATCATGGCACATTAAAAGAACGAACTAAATAGTAACAGCCAGGAAGTGGTGTGTGATGTGTGTGTGATGTGTATGTGTGATGTGTGTGATGTGTATGTGTGTGATGTGTGTGTGTGTGGTGTGTGATGTGTGTGTGGTGTGTGATGTGTGTGTGGTGTGTGATGTGTGTGTGATGTGTGTGTGATGTATGTGTGATGTGTGTGAATGCACATGTAGAGGACAGATGACAACTTGCTGGAGTAGGTTCTTTCCTGGTTCTCTCCTTCCATCATTTGGGTTCCAGAGATTGAACTCAGGTCTTTGCTGGCAGCAACACCATTGAGCCATCTTACTGGCTCCAGTTAACAAATTAAAAATGGGGAGAGCAGACTGAAGGGACGGCTTAACGGCTAAGGGCACTGACTGTCAAATTCCAGCACCCTCATGGCTGCTAACAACCATCTGTGACTCCAGTTACAGAGGATCCGATGCCCTCTTCTTAACTCTGCAGGCATTGCGCAACACGGGTGCATTTATGTACATGTAAGCAATACACATACACATAAAAAAAAAATATATATATATATATATGAATGATCCAGAAAATCCTGACATTTGGATCTGATCAAATGACCCCAGTTTTGAGTGCAGTGACCCTGTCAAGGAGCTGTTTGGCCGGCTGTGCCTGCTTCTGAGTAGTACAGGGTAAGGACAGTAGCCAGCCTAGATCCAGCTCCTGCTGTCCCACTGGCCTGCAAGTTTCTCATGACAGTTGTCCAGGGCCTTGGCACTCCAGAGAGCTAAACCTGGTGGACTTCTTGTGCCCTTGCAGACATGCCTGTGCTGTAGCTGTTCCTTCTTGACCTCCATACACACAAGTCATTAGACATGGGGTTCCCCAGTGTTGGTCCCTCTGTCACACACTGTGGCTGATACTAAGGTTCCCAGGCTGGGCAGTGGATAGAGGTGAATAGGGGCCAGGATCTATTTGGGTGACTTCCCAGGGGTAGCAGGCATGCTGGAGAGTGAGTGGCCTGTGGATGTGCTCTTCTGTCCACTTTGAGTGTGCTGTACCTAACCCTGACTTTGACCTCCCTGCTTAGTCCACCCATCTGGCCTTGGGCTTCTGTCCCTGGGCTGCTTCCCCCTGGGCTTCCTCTCTCCTGGGCTTCCCCCTGGGCTTCCTCTGGATTCATGCTCAACTTTCTGCTAGCCATCCCTGTTCCTGGATATTGGAGCTGTCCAGAGTGGGAGGCTTCCCTGCCTGTAGAACTATCAAGAAACATGCCCCCTAGGTGATGCAGCACCCCTCTGAGGGTGGCCAGGTGCTAAGCCTCTGCAGCAACATCAAAGAGGCCTCCGTCAAGGTGGCCGAGATCTGGATCGTCTCCTTGTCCAGTCAGCCCATTGACCACGAGGACAGCACCATGCAGGCTGGCCCCAAGGCAAAGTCCACAGGTGAGTCACTGTGCCACTTCCTCCTGCTGCCCCCTCCGTGCCACTTCTGCTCACATGTGTTGGGGAGAGGACTGGCCCAGTGTGGTTGGAAAAGACAGGCTAGGAGTCAAAGAGTCTCACCGATTGCTCTCATAGCTAGAAGCTTTGGGGAAAAGCCGTGTGTGCTGTTGTAGTTCTGACCTGGGACACCTTCATCAGACCCAAGTCCTATGTACCCTCAATTAGTAGGTGTCGTGGGATCTCTCCCTGCAGTGCCTTTGATGTTCTGAACGCGGGGTTCCTGGTGTGAGGCAAGGGCTCAGCAGCCATCATCTGCTACTACCATCACAGTTGGGGGTCACTGTCCCTCCCCTGCTCTAGTCCACAGCCCCATGGTCACATGGCCTGTGTCCTCAGGCTCTTGGTGCTCAGGTGCTTAGCGCTGGTGCCTCAGGTCCTTCTGCTCTGCGTGTGGCTGTCTCCTTGTAGCTCCCCTCTGCGTTCAGGGGACACCTGTTGCTCTGTTGCTAGCTCATCACCATGGCATCAGGCAGAATCTGAATGTATCTTCCCTTCCATTTGCTCATCCCACAGATAACTACTCTGAGGAGGAGTACGAGAGCTTTTCCTCAGAGCAGGAAGCCAGCGACGATGCTGTGCAAGGACAGGTACCAGGCGGGACTTGTAGGGAGATACCTGATGACTCCCACGGCTGTCTCTAGAGACCAGAGGCAGGGGCGGAAGGGGTCTTCCCTATGTTTGTCCACACGAAGCCTGTGTGGTCCCCAGTGTCACGTGGGGCGAGGGAGGGCGGGAAACGGATGAGTGGCACCTGGTTCCTCTGTCCCTAGGGCTAGAATGTGTCCATGGCAGCTGTGTAGTGCTTGGGAGAGTTAGTGACCGGCATTGGCCTTCCTTGTGAAACTGGTCTGCCTCACACAGTGCACAGGGCTTGGCTTGCTAAGCAGTAGCTCTGGCCTCAGGCACTGTCCTTGTCTCCCCAGGATCTTGATGAGGACGACTTTGATGTGGGGAAACCCAAGAAGCAGCGGCGCTCGATAGTAAGAACGACGTCCATGACCAGGGTCGGTGGAATCTAGTTTTACTAACACTGGGGAAGGCACGGGGGTGGGCAATGGCTGGGAAGGGTTACTGGAGGGTTGTGGGCAAGAGTATATGCAGCCTCTTCTGAGGGCCAGGTGAGGATATTAGCCTCACATGGACCAAAAGACCCTCAGGATATTCTCTTGTCCTCAGGCCAGGAGCTTGTCTAGCTAGCACCTAACGTTGTTCGTCAACATGGGCCCAAGCCAGACAGTTTCCTGGCTGCCACCCTTTCCTGCCACCACATGTTCTTCCTATGGTCACGGTTAGAGGGTCTGGAATAAGGCTGGGGTACCTGCCTCAAGCCCATGGCCCCTGCACAAAAAGAAACTGCGGGTGTGTTTTCCCTCAGCTCGCCACCCAGATGCACCATTTGTGAGGCCAGTTTAATTTTTTTGTTGGGGCCTGGCCTGTCAGCACAGGGTACAGGGACTGGGCTGTCAGGCCTTTCTCATTGGAAAAAACATGGGGTAGGACCCAGTCTGTCCAGTGACTATCACTGGGCACCTGAGCCCCTTAGAGCCCAGCACTGGGCTTCACCACTGTGGGAGTGGCTGGCATGGGTAGCCAGGGAAGACCCTTACCAGTGTTGAGAGGAGCAGCACTGTCCCCTTTGGTGGATGAGAAGGAGGCTGGGGGCAGGAGCCATACTGCATACAAAGTTGTGTCTGCCCTGACTGTAGGCAGCATGGGCAGGAGCTTAGGTCCAGGATGCCAGGCATGCAGAAGGAGCCCTCCTTGTTTAGGGTTAGCCCTGTGAGGGTGACTGAGAGCACCTAGTGGCCAGTGGCTGGAGCAGAGGTGTTGCAGCCAACAGTGGGAGCAGCTTGGCCTGAGTGCATAGGCCTTCTTGCTTCTCTCTACCCTGTGCCCTTCTAAGTGCCCACTACAGGGTGCCCAACAGCCTCCTTCTGAGGATGCCAGGACCTTTCCTGGGAGGGGGCACTGTGGGAAGGTGCCAGAGAGCCTAGGTAAGCTGCTAAAGCTTCTAGAAGGACCCCAGAGCCAGTGTGCATCTTCCCTTGGTTCCCTTCAGCGAGTCTGGACTGTCGGCTCTTCCAGGTGTTTCTGAATCTGGCTTCAGCTTGTGGTTTCAAACACTAGGAATGTGACATGGCTATATGGAGGAGCTGCATCTAGTACACACTTTTGTAGTGTGCAGTGCACACCCCTCCTGTCCCCCATCACAGAGAAGCCAGAGCGTGTGCCTCACTATGTCCCAGGAAGTCGCTTCCACATCATTTTAGACTGACATGATGTGCTTCTTGTCTCACAGCAACAGAACTTCAAACAGAAGGTGGTGGCACTGCTGCGCAGATTTAAAGTGTCAGAGGAGGTGAGTGGACTGGAGCTCTTTATGGTTGCTGGTCCCTGATGTCTTGCTGGGCAAGAGGTGTTCCCTTGCAGCTCAGGCCAGGTCTGGCTCTGCACTTAGCACTTGTGGGGCATTGCTCTCTGCCTGCCAGCCTGGATGGTAGCTATGAGGGACCAGCAGAGAACCAGGCTCACCTGCTGGTTCTGTTGAACTCCCAAGTCGTGATGCACCTGCAGGAGACTGATGGAATGTTGTCTCTTTATAAATAGACTGTTGGGGAGCAGTTTCTGGTTCACAGAAAAAATAAGCATGAAGTACAGAGAGCTCCCAAGGGCCTCTCTCCAACCACACTTTGCCTGCTCTATGGCCAGTGTGTCACAGGTCTTAGGGTTTCTTAGCATTTCTCTAGTCTCTGAATCTGCTACATTGAGTTTGTATGACTTTCATAATCAAAAGAAAGTACCTTGGTTTTCATAGAATATGGTCAGCGTTTTAAAAATTTTTTAAAGATTAGCTGGGCGTGGTGGTGCACACCTTTAATCCTAGCACTTGGGAGGCAGAGGCAGGCGGATCTCTGTGAGTTCAAGGCCGGCCCGGTCTACATAGTGAGCTCCAGGTCAGCTGGGGCTACAGGGGGACCCTGTCTCAAAAAGACACCCCCCCCCATTTTTTTTAAAGATTATTTTTAATTTTTTACTTTTTCTTTGGTTTTTCTTTTTGTCTTTTTGAGACAGGGTCTCCCTGTAGCCTCAGCTGTCCCAGAACTCACTATGTAGACCAGGCTGGCCTCGAACTCACAGAGATTTGCCTGCCTCTGCCTCCTAAGTGCTGGGATTAAAGGCGTGTGCCACCATGCCCAGCTTATCTTTTATTTTATGTATATGTGTTATGGAGGCCAGAGGAGGGAGTCAGATTCCCCTGGCATTTGAATTAGGGACAGCTGTTAGTCACCATGTGGGTGCTGGTAACCCAGGTCCTTTACAAGAGCAGCTAGTGCTCTTAACCACTGAGCCATCACTCTGGCCCCCTTATTTTTATTTTTAATTAATTAATTAATTATCTTTTGAGACAGAGCTACCCTGTAGTCCCAGCTGACCTGAACTCACTATGTAGACCAGGCTGGCCTTGAACTCACAAAGCTCTGCCTGCCTCTGCCTCCCGAGTGCTGGGATTAAAGGTCTGTGCCACCACGCCCAGCTATTATTATTATTTTTTTAGATAGCGTCTCCCTTTATCTACAGCTGGCCTGGATTCACTATGGAGACCAGGCTGGCCTCATACTCAAAGAGATCCACCTGCCTCTGCCTCCTGAGTGCTGGGATTAAAGGTGTGTGCCACCATGCCCGGCTATACTTTTCATTCTTTACAACCTGGCCTAGCTGGGAATTTTCTAGATTTTTTTTTTTTTTTTTTTTTTTCTTGAGACAGGGTTCCCCTGTAGTCCTAGCTGGCCTGGAAACTCACTGTGTAGACTAGACCAGGCTGGCTTCCATTTCAGAGAGATCAACCTGCCTCTGCCTCCTGAGTGCTGGGATTAAAGGCATGTGCCATCATGTCCAGCTGAATTTTCCAGATCTTTAAGATCCATTTCTTGCTGGGTGTGGTGGCGCACGCCTTTAATCCCAGCACTTGGAAGGCAGAGGCAGGCAGATCTTTGTGAGTTCAAGGCCAGCCTGGTCTACATAGTGAGTTCCAGGTCAGCTGGGGCTATAAGGAGATCCTGTCAAAAAAAAAAAAAGAGATCCATTTCTCTTTTGATTGTGACTCATTTCTCTCCTCACATTTTACTGTAACCTGTCAAGAGAAGACACATGGTTTCCTCTGCGACTTGGAGGTTACTTTGGTCAGATAATCCTGTTTTGTCATTTAGAAGTTGTGTTTTCTACAAAACACTTGAACACAGCAGACGTACAAAGCTCTCTCCATTTTATGGCAGGTGACCTTTCCTCTAGTTCCCAGAAACACACTCTTTCTGTTTGAGACCACACCAGAATGGCCTCCACTCTGTTTCTACAGCGGCCTGCTCTGCCATACCGGATCACTGTGGGCTGGGTGGTTGAACAGTTACCATGTCCTGCCCACTGCTCTGAAGGCTAGAATTCAGGTCCGGTGTTCAAAGTCTGGAGAGGACCTGTTCCCCAAGGACAGTGTGTGTGTCCTTACATGGGGCCAGGAGGAGCCCACTCCCTTTTCTAAGGTCACTAATCTTCATGAGGGCACAAGGGTGCCCTAATCACTTCCCGAAAGTCCCTTAACACAGTATGTAGAGGTTTCTCTTGCTGGGTGTCCTGATCTCACCTCGGGGATGGGGGGCACACCTTCAGATTGAGCACAGCCTCTATGCTGCCTGTGAAGCTCCCCAGACCTCAGCCTCCAGCACCGAGATACCAGTGGGTCTATCTAGAGATGGGAGAGCCGAGCCTCAGAGAGGACCCTGCATGAGGTAGACTCAGGAGCCTTAGGCCTTGGCCTAAAGCTATTCTCTGTAGTCAAGTTGCCATGCTGGTGACACACCTGTACTGTTGATTGATTTTCAACAAATGTGCCAGTTCCTTTGGAGAAAAGTTAGTCTTTTCAATATAACATTGAACTTTGATGCATAGTGTGTGACACATGAATAGCTAGCTCCTAGTGGTCCATGTTCCTAAGAACCATCAATTTTAAGCAGTTAAGAGCACTGGCTATTTTTGCAGAAGACTTGGGTTCAAATCCCAGCATCCACATGGTGGCCAGCAACCATCCGTAACTCCGGTAACAACTGTGACATCTTCTTCTGACCTCAGTGGGCACTGCATGACTTGGGTGCACTCATACACATGCAGGCATAACACTCATACACATAAAATAAAATTTTTTTAAAAAATTAAACAAAAAGAAACCAAGTATTTAGGCTGGGGATGTGGGTAAAGTGCTTGCTTTGCAAGCATAAGGACCTGAGTTCACATCTCCAGTACCCACATAAAAAGCCAGTGTGGCTCATACCTGTAAATCCCAGTGCTCGGGTAGACAGAGACAGGAGGATCCCAGGAGCTTGTTAGCCATCTGCTCTAGCTAATCAGTGAGCTGCTGGTCCAGTGAGAGACCCTGTCTCAAAAAATAAGGTAGAGAGAGACAGAGGAAGACACCTGACATCAACCTCTGACCTGCATACACATCTACACATACATATGTACACATATACCACACAAACACGTGAATGAAAAGAAGAAAGCAGACAAAATAGAATGTTCTAGCAGTTAAGTGCTTGGAGACCCTGGTGGCCCTCCTGGTCATCTCCTTTGTTAGCCTTTGCTGCTCACCAAGGGGGACTCAGGCCTCTGTGAGGTCCTTAACAGGTCGGCATTGCTGTAGGTTCTAGACTCAGAGCAGGACCCTGCAGAACATGTCCCGGAGGTGGAAGAGGACCTGGATCTTCTGTACGACACGCTGGATGTGGAGAACCCCAGTGACAGTGGCCCCGACATGGATGATGATGACAGTGTCCTTAGTACCCCCAAGCCTAAGCTCAGGTGAGCGGCACCAGGTTGGAACTGTCTTCTCATGAGCCTGAGCATTCTGGCAGGATTGTTCTGGTTTGCCCTGTGGTTGTGAACAATGCCTTATTATGGGGTACTATGGGCTTGGAAGGTTTTCATGGGGTAGACCAGTAGAGGCAGCCTGGTAGAAGGCAGTGAGTCTAAGGTTATGGTGGGTAGATGGAGCCCAGGCAGTTTTCCCATCATAATTTAAAAAAAAAAGAAAAGAAAGAAAAGCCAGGCATTGTGGTGCATGCACTCAGGGAGGCAAAGGCAGGCAGACCTCTGTGAGTTCAAGGCCAGCCTGATCTACATTGTTAGTTCCAGGCCAACTGCGGCTACAGGGAGACCCTGTCTCAAAACAAACCCCCAAAAAAAGGGGGTGGGGTGGGGGAAAGGGATGCCTTTGTGGAGAAGTTATGAGAGGAATTGAACACCTCTTGACCCAATGAAGCTAGGTCTGGAATCTTTCTTCAGGGCACAGTAGTTCTCAGGGTGAGCAGTAACAAGGTGACCAGACCACATGTGTTTGCAAGTTTGTTGGAAACTAGAGATAGGCAGAGCCATCCAGAGGCTGGTAGAGTTGGGTCAGAGAGAGGGCTTTAGGTCCCCAATGAGTCCAGAGCTCAGGGCCTAGGGCCAGGTAAGATATTGGGCAGGCTGGGGAGGAAGGAGGGGCTCCAGGGTACTGCCACTGTACACAGGACTGAGGCATACCAGAGACTGTGGGGCCTTCCTGTATAGTGGAAGGGAGCCTCAACTAGCACCCCTTCTTGGTGTGACTGGAAGCCCAACATGCCAAACCTGGCCTGGGGCAGGAAGGGCAGTCAGGAAGGCCCCCACACAGATGGTGGTGTGGACATGGTGCTGCTAGAGAGGCTTGGCCCTGAGGATAGGTGGTGTGTAGGCCTGGGCTTTGGTGTAGCTACTGAGCACAGGAAGACAGGGATTTTGCCAAAGGGCTTCGGCGTTCTCTGTTTTGAAGCTCTTAACATGTACAACACAGAGACGCACATGTGAAATCTGGGCTTCCTTCAACATTACAGACACGGTAACCCTGGCTTTCACGGATACTGCCATTTATCCGTTATGACTTAGCTTGGTGGTGCATGCCTGAAATCTCGGCACTGGGGCACTGAGAGAAGGATCACTGAGTTTGAGTCCAGCTTGGGCTACAGACTGAGACCTGCTCTCAGAAAAGGAAAACCCAACACCTAAACCTCCCCAATCTAGGATGACATCCTAAGGCCTTAGCTCCTGTTCTCTGCCCAGGTCTTGCTGGGCTCAGGTCAGGGTGTTGAATTACTGGCTTGGGAGATGCCCTCTAGGCCCAGTAAGCTAGTGGATGGAGCTCAGTTTCTTGTGTTCCTCCAATCAAGCCCCCTCATGCAGCAGTACTGGTCCTTCATATCTTGTCCTAGGCCTGAGTGTGTTCGCTGCTCCTGGGTCACATGGGTCTCCTGAAGAGTTCAGGGCATCCTACTGTGAGCTCCATTGATATTAGCCATGGTGGTATAATCACTGGCTAGCTAATACCTACAGTTCTGGGGTGAAATGTGTACCTTGGGGCCATGATCCCGAGTTGTCCCACATAGGTGTAGCCCCGTGTAGTAGTCACCATGTACCCCCAGGTCCCTGCATGGCCTTGTAACCCCATTGGCATACCAGCTGCCATGCAGGTTTCCTACCAGCTCTTGCAGCTTGAGTTCTTGGACATCCTCCCTTGGGTTTCTAGTCTCCTCTACTGGAGACAAACTCATTGGTACAGGTTGGTCTAGATTGACTAGAATTGGCCTGACTGGTCTAGAATAGCCTGGTCATTCTGGATTGGTCTGCAATGGCTTTTTTTGGTTAGGCTTGGTCTGGTCTGGTGTGGCCTGGTTCATCTCAAATGCTCTGGGTTGGCCTGGAATAGTTTAGCTGGTCAAGACTGGTCTGGAATAGTCTGGTTATGTCTGGAGCTGCCTGGGTTGGTCAAGACTAGTCTAGAATGGTCTGGATTGGTCTGGAGAGCCCTGGTTGATCTAGGTTGGTCTGGAATGGCCTGGCTGGTCTGGACCTGCTGGTGGAACTGTTGTTGTGTTGTTGAGAGTGTCCTGTTTCCTGCAGTCCTACTGTTCCCAACCGGGGCAGCTCTAGTAAGAGCAGGTGGCTCCCAGTGCTGTCACTTGAGCCCTTGTGATGACCAACCTTGGGCAAAGGCCATGAGCAGATGGTTTTCTTTCTCTTTTTCAGACTTTTTTGTTTTTTGTCTTTTTGAGACAGGGTCTCCCTGTAGCCCCAGCTGTCCTGGAACTCACTATATAGACCAGAAACTCACAGAGATCCGCCTGCCTCTGCCTCCACCTCCCAAGTACTGGGGATTAAAGGCGTGTGCCACCATGCCCGACTTCTTTCTCTTTTTAATTACATTTTTGGGGTGTTGTGTGTGTTTATTTGTGTGTACACGCACATGTCATGTACTAGCCAAAGGACAACTTGAAGGAGTCACTTTTCTTCTCTGTGGGTCCTGGGGATAAAACTCAGGTCATCAGGCTTGGTGACAGGAGCCTTTGCCCAATGAGCCATCTCCCTGCCCTGGAACACACATTTTTTGTGGCTGACCTCACAGCTGGTGCAGGACCTGGGCCCACCTGGCGCTTAGTCACTCCTGAATCCCATCATCTTGTGTAAGGCTCCCTCAAGGGTGGGGTATACTCACACAGCTCTTCTGTGGGGCCTGTTTCTCTGTATATAGTTCTGTTCTGCCACTGAATTCCCTGCTATTCTCCTACTCTGTATGCAGTGGGTGAATCTCATCTCACTGTACAGGGGACCTTGGGAAATAATGCTGATCCTTTCCTTCATCTAGGCCATACTTCGAAGGCCTGTCACACTCCAGCTCACAGACAGAGATAGGGAGTATCCACAGTGCTCGGAGCCACAGGGAGCCTCCAAGCCCGGTGAGTTGGGGCCACACTGTGCAGTGGTGAAGCTCTTGAACCAGGCTTGAGTATTCTCTTCCTTTCTTTCTTCCTTCCTGTCCCTGAGTTATGAATACCAAGGCAGCATGTCCCTAGCTGGGCTGTGGTATGACCTGGGCTCTTCCCAGTAGTGAGAGACTCTTGTAAGACCCTGAGTCCACAACCCATGAAATTTCCAGCCCATCTTCCTGGACCTGTCCAGAAGTGAGAGTCTTAGCCCAACTCTGCAGCACAGCTTGATTCCTGTCTTATCGCCCCCAGGCTGATGTACCGGAGAAGATGAGATCCCTGGGAGGCAGGCAGCCAAGTGACAGCATCTCTGACACGGTGGCCCTCGTAAGCAGGCATGGGTAGTATTCACCTGTCCATGCTCAGCAGACCTCAAACATACAGTGGACTCCATCCTCATGGAGGGTTTGTGCTCACACACTCTGAGCATGTGTGCTGAGGCGGGCTGGCCTTTGGGTAGCCAGGCTGCTAGGTGATCAGGGCACCTTTGGTTCACCCTTCTTGGATGTTGACCTGGGAACTCAGGTAGATGGCTGTATCTCCAGCTTTGTTGTCAGACCCGGGCCCTGCGAGCAGTGGGTTTAATAGCCCTGTCCTCATGGAATCTTCTCAGATAAGGTGCCTGAGTGCAGGGTGGGTAGGGTTGCCAGCAGGTTTGGTGCTGGTCTCTCAGGCTTGGAGGCAGTTGAACCAATGGCTCCCCATTGTTAGTTGCATTTCCCCTCCTATCTCTGTGGGCAGCATGTGGCACACCCACATGCAAGACCTTGGGCCGGAGGAGACCAGAGCCTTACCCCAAGCCAGGGGCACATGAACAGGAGGGACCGGGTGAATATTTCCAGCCAGGCGGATGCATATGGCTCCTTCTCAACCCATCAGAGTGCAACAGCCCCCCGGGAGCCACTGGGGCAACCTGAGGACAGCCCAGAGGCTGAGACCTCCATCCTGGATGTGTTCACTGAGAGGCTGCCACCCAGTGGGAGGATCACAAAGACGGAGTCGCTTGTCATCCCCTCTACCAGGTATAGACCTGTGCTGACGGGGCATACACCCCTACAGCGTAGGGCTGTGGGAAACCAGTTTGGGGTCAACTCCAGAAGCTGTAGGTTGGACCCTACCCAATCTGTAGCTGCCTTTGGCTTTCTGCTGGCCTGTATTTGTAAGACTAGTGTATCTGAGAGGTTCCTGGAAATAGAGCTGAGTGCTCAGGGTGCTGGGGCAGCTTTCTGTGACATGTCACAGGGTCTGCTAGATAGGACTGGTTGTAGCTCTTGTGGGAGTGCCTCTTCCAGGGGGTGTAGGACCTGAGTCTGGTCAGCAGGTAACCATGTAACCCTTAGGCCCAGCAGCAGCACAGATGGGATAGCTGTGAGTTGAAGTGGCCACAGGCCATATCTCTCCAGAGTCTCCCCACAGCGGTCTTCGTCAGACCAGTCAGTCCTGCCCCACCCCTTCCCCTACTGCTTCCATGTCAGTCTGTCCCCTGGAATCCTCCTGCTATGCACCCACTTTACCACCCTGTCTGTTCATAGAAACCCAGCACTGGCAAACGTGCAATTACAGATTTTCCCCAGTAGGAGTTGTAGCCTCTGACCCCAATTGAAAAGCCAAGGTCAGACTGCTGCACACAGGGTGGGCATTCCTGTGGTACTCCCCATATACCTGGTAGCATTGTGTGGTCAGTCTCATTTGCTTTTCTGTCCACTGCTGGGCAGCTCTTCTTGGGGCAGCAGTGTGCAACCTGCAGTGAACATGCCGCCTGCTGTCCCAGCTGCTCCATCTGCCTCTCCTGGTTCCCAGCAGATCAGAGACAAAGCCAGCCGGCCGCCGGGGCCGAAGCACATCCCTGAAGGAACGACAGCCAGCTCGACCTCAGAATGAGCGGGCCAACAGCCTGGACAATGAGCGCTGCCCAGACACACGGAGCCAGCTGCAGGTAAGGGTGGAGCCGAGGGAGGCAGGACAGAGAGAGACCTAGAAACCCTGGGGGCTGGGCAGACCTGGGAGGGTGGGGAATTCCCTGCAGACAGTCCTTTCCTCAAGAAGCCTGTTGCTTCTGGGGCAGGTTCCCGCTGTCCCGTTGCTCTCCCCGGACCAGGGCCACCCAGAGTGTGGCTACTGCAGCCCAGGGGGGCCTCTGTTGGGTACTTCCTCACCTGCTCCAAGGCTGCTTGGAAGCATGGGGTGCTGAGGCCCAGGGCGAGAAGGTGAAAGGACCGGGTGCTGTGTCTCCCCTGGTGTGGACACCTCAGTGTCTCTAGATTCCCAGGAAGACCGTGTACGACCAGCTGAACCACATCCTCATCTCTGACGACCAGCTCCCTGAGAACATCATCCTCGTCAACACCTCTGACTGGCAGGGACAGGTACGGGACAGCTGTGTGCCCTGCCATCACCCAGAGAGTTGAGTGTTCCTTCTTGCCTTGAGGAGCCCCAGTCCTTGCTGAGGGAAGGGTTATGGTCAGCTTTGCCTGGATGTTTGTGGATCTCCCTGGACCCTGTGGGACCTGAGCTGAGGGTTGGATGGGGACTGACAGGCACTTGCCAAGGTCACTGTCTGCTTGTCCCTTCCTAGTTCCTCTCAGACGTACTACAGAGACACACACTCCCCGTGGTATGCACATGCTCTGCTGCTGATGTTCAGGCAGCCTTCAGCACCATTGTCTCTCGGATACAGAGATAGTGAGTCTGCCACCCATTACCCTGGGGTTCACCCTGTGACACTGCTGCCTAAGTGTGTACTGGGCTCCCGCACCCAGCCCTGCCTGCCACTCTGAGACAGGGAATATTATGTCCACAGTGGGTGTCTTGAAACACATTTTGGGGTGATAAGGGAAGAAGCAGCCTCTGGTAGGCACCATTTCCTGTTTGCAGTGGCCAGAAGAGCCCCCCCCCCCACAAAACCAGGCACATCTAAGCAGACACAGCCTCCTGCCCCCTAAGCTCAGGACTTCAGGTGGGGCATCCTGGGTCTGGAGGCGCCATTGGGATTGTGGCAAGAGTAGCTACACCTAGGGGCACAGGCTTCTCGGGGCTCAGCAGGGTGATACTGGGCTAAAGACAGAACAACTCCCCTGAGGCATGTGCCCTCTCTGCCCTGCCCTGCCTCACCCTCTTGGGATCGCAGCTGCAACTGCAATTCTCAACCCCCGACCCCTGTGAAGATTGCTGTGGCGGGAGCACAGCATTACCTCAGCGCCATCCTGCGACTCTTCGTGGAGCAGCTGTCCCACAAGACACCTGACTGGCTCGGCTACATGCGCTTCCTCATCATCCCACTGGGTGAGGGGTGTTGGCCTACTGTCCACCTGTGACTGACGCTGAGTGACCTCAGAGGCAGGGACAGTGCCATGTGGGCAGTGAGGGTAGATGTGCCATTGTGACATGTTTCAATTTATTTAAATGAAAAATCAGATGGACCCGATAGCCCATGCTTGTCAGTCTAGCACTTGGAAGGCTAAAGATCGAAAGTTCCAGACCACCCCAGAACTGGCCTATATATATAGCAAGACCCAGTCTCAAAAAAATAACTGGAAATAAAGAGAAGGGACAGGGACTGTTGCCCTGATCATGTAGAATGTGTTAGAGGGCAGCTCAGCTTCCACGGTGGCCATGCTGGGCGACGAGCCCACTCTACTTTGGCTTTGGTTTCTGTTGTCAGAGATGCAGAGCAGTCTTTGTAGGTTGCCATGGTCCTGTGGACTTAAACTCCAGCAGCCTTTTGGCTTGTGCAGCTCCCCTGACTGTAGAACAGACCTGTCAGGCTTTACTTGTTGACCAGTAGTGAAATCTAAAGGCAACACCTGACCTGGGTCCCACAGCTTATTACCTTTCCCTTTGCTTTCCCAGTGGAACAACAGGAAGTGAGGTTTTGTCACAGCTCCTCCTATAGAGCTATGGCAGCCTGCTGCAGAGGGGCCCAGGACAGTGGGGTTCTCTGGGCTTGGGCAGTGCAGCTCCACATGGTGACGGATCTCCTTGGATTCTCAGGCTCCCACCCTGTGGCCAGATACCTCGGCTCTGTGGACTACCGCTACAACAACTTCTTCCAGGACCTGGCCTGGAGAGACCTGTTCAACAAGCTGGAAGCCCAGAGCACTGGTGAGGCCTGGGTACTACACTGGTGTTGGGGGGGGGGGGGCTGCCCCGTGCATCTGCAGCCAGCCCCCTGCATTGGAGGCAGGGGCTCCTTATTGCTGGAGATCTCTCATCACAAGAACCATTTCATTTCTCAGGCTCAGCTGTGGAGTGGGGGATGTTATGGGAGGTTACCTCACCCAACTTGCTGTAGGGTGGGTATAGGGCCATTGGGAAGAGTGGATACAGGGCCCCAGGGTAAGACTTCAGGATTTGAGGAGTCTGTACACCCTTACCCTGGGACTATTGTGGGTGGACAGTTGGGCCAGGAGCAGTGGGCAGGGAACAGAGATAGAGAGGAGCCAGAACATGGTGCCTGGGACACAGCCTATACCCTAGTGGATCCACCTGATGGACCCACCCAGCCACCATACTGACCCTCCGCCGCCTCTGCCTTGTGCAGTGCAGGACACGCCAGACATTGTATCTCGCATCACCCAGTACATCTCGGGGGCCAACTGTGCTCACCAGCTCCCCATCGCAGAGGCCATGCTGACCTACAAGCAGAAGAGGTAACATGGGGGGTGGCCAGGGCTAGGAGGCCTGAAGGAGGCATCTGGCCCCCGTGCATCGTATGGGCTATGGGACAGACCCTGCAGGGGTCCCTAGTGAAAGGCCTGGATAAGCCTGGGGGAGGAGCTGCCACTGATCCCATGTCAAACCAGAATACCAGGCTGTTTACAGAGCCTTTCATTTTTGTGCATGTGGGTTGACATTCCCCATGACCTCAGCTCTCCCAGCAGTCAGGTCCTCATATCTGGTCATGTTTCTCCCATAGCCTGGCCTACCTGGGCCAGGGACCCCATGTCCCTGGCCCTGGCTGTGGGTGAACAGTTAGATCATGTTCCTACCTGCCCAGAACAGGGCAGTGCTCAGGAGCTGTTGGTGAAAGGCTTGGCAGAGTGGCCTGGGCCTGGTCCTTCCTCCCAAGGAACTGAGTGTCCTTCAGCAAGGCCCATCATACTGGGGCATAGGGAACTGAGTCTCTTTCTTGGCTCAGACCTCTGGACATGCTTCCCTTCACACAGTCAAGGAGAGTAAGCGCACAGAGCCTAAGGTGGCAGCCTCACCTATATCCAGGGTGGGCACAGCTCTCACAGCCAGTAAGGACAAAGTGCAGAATCTCTGTTAGGTTGTACATGCCACATGCCACCTTTCCCAGACCAAAAGATAGTTAAGTTCAAGGTTGGTAAGGTCCAGCAGAAATGGCTAGACCTGCTTCCTGGCCACCTGGTGCTCAGGGACTCCCGGTGGCAAGGGCAGCTCCACCCTGCACAGGCCTTTTGGGTGCCCTTGGCCCCCGCTCAGTTGCTGCCCCAGATCAAGATGGGTAGAGTGTGTCTTGACCACAGGAACCATTGTGCTCCCATCTCAGCGTGTGGAAGACTTGTTCCTAAGAGTGTCCTAACATGTGTTTTCTCTCTTGGTGGCTTTCCAAAAAGGAAAAAGCACTTTCACTTTGACTTTACTTTGAGGTACAGCTCTCTGGCCTGCACCCCCTATCTGTCCCCAGGCTGGTCTTCAGGGCTTGTTTAGCGGGGTCACCACCCAGGTGCCTCTCCCATGATGCCCATAGGCAGGATCTCTGTGCCCTGAAGAGCTGGTGTGGACCCTTTCAGGGGAGAGCTGCAGATGGACTCTACTGGCCCACAGAGCCATCCTCAGGGAATCAGGGCTCTTCAAGCTTCTTGTTAAACTAGAGGCAGCACTAGGCTTGCACTGACCACTGGCCTGGTGTCTAGATCACCCCATGTTGGCTTTTGCTCCTAGCACTTAACACCCATGCACAGCCTCAGGAAAGAGGCATCCATGCCTGTTCTGCATGTGAGAGTATGAAGTGAGAGGCCAAGGGGCCTGGCACAGAGACAGGTGACTTCACCATCTTCTGCATTATAGGATCAGCTTCCAGGGCCAGCAACGACAGAGAGAAGTTTCTAGTGACTTTTCTGGTGTGTTGGGGGTGGGGAGGGTGGCAGCCAGACCTTCAGGCCCCAAAACAGGTAAAGTATTTCTCCCCTAGGAAGGCGCCACCCTTTGAAAACTTGGACGTCTCAGGCACTGTCAAAGTGCCCCAGTCCTTGCTGGGAGGTTCCTGTATACTGTCTGTTGCACTTGCCTCAGGGTATCTGTTCTGGGACAGCACCCAGGACAAGGTTGTAGGGCCAGCGGCCTCTTTGTTGGGAATGCTGTCCATCATCTGAGCTAGCAGGACATACAAGGGCCTTGAGTACCAATCTGCCCTGCTAAACAAGCCCCTGAGTTAGAGAAAGACCAGCCTTCATACCTCTCCCACCCTTGAGGCCTGGCCTGTGCTGCCAGCTGTGGCAGAAGGAGCCTGCAGCATGCTCTGCTGAAAACACAGGCCTGAGGAGATCCTCTTTATCCCCCATAACTCCCCTGCCTGTGATGGATACAGTAGTGACACTGGCACTGAGTGGGCACAGGTGCCTGCAGGGAAGTAGTGAAGGCACGGAGTCTCTCCTGGCTTTTCCAGACCAGCTCTCTGTGAGAGCTCTGCAGGGAGATGCCTGCTTCTGCCAGCCTCTTACTTCGCTGCAGCTGAGAATGGGACTTGTCCTCTGAGGGCACTGAGCCTGAGGTCATGCTGGAAAAGCACAAGCTCCAGCTTCTTGTGTATGGGTGAAGGAGGGCCTTGGGCCTGGGTTCTGTGTCTTCTGTACTGTGGCAGGTCTTGGCAACAGATCAAGGGTGTGATCCTTAGACTGCTGACCACCCGACCCCCAGGAGTGCATGTGCTGCAGGCCCTGGCTGCCTTTGCACCGTGCTCTTGGTAGGCAGCTAGTGTCACTACTGCTGTACCCATGCTGGTGCTGTGTGCATGGCCCAGGATGCAGTGTGACGCTGGTGGTACTGTTGCTGCAGCTGTGCCGGTGCTGTCTGCATGGCCCAGGATGCAGCTTGGCTTTGAGCTCTGGTGGCTTCTCCATGTTGCAGTGTCTCCTGTGTCTTGTCTCATGTGGCCTTACTAGCCCTGCCCTGCTCCCAGGTGTCTCAGAGTGTAGCACCAATAAGACAGATGCGGCTCTGCCAAAGGGTGGGGATGCTGTGGGTTAGAGTCCTTCCAGTGGGGACCAGCGTGCTGCTGCTTTCTGAGACCTTCTGGGCCCACGACTCATGTCACCTGCGTTGGACAAGGGGACCACACATAGATAACCACTCTAGGCGAGGATAGGACAGACCTGGGCTCAGGATTCAAATAATTTAGAATGGACAAGGTGGAAGAGGTTTCTCTTCCAAAATTGTTCTCCTTAAAAGGGAAAGGAAGGCTGGGAAATTGACCATCTTCACTTGGACGGAGTCTGTAGATATTTCTTATAAGGCACCTGCCAAGTCTTTGGGGTACGGAGGACAGAGGGACAGTCCCCCTACTGCTTTCTGGGCTGACACCAGGCAAAGGCCAGTTGTCCATCTGGAGGGAGCACCGTGTGTGTGGAGCTCTGGGCACAAGCCTCTGCCCCAGCTGGAAGCTAGACTGCCAGTTCTGGAAGCCGGTGTCCAAGGCAGGCAGCTGGCTGGCCATATTTATCTCCAGGTCTGCTTCCTGCAAAGATGTTTCATGAAGACCCTTATTGGGCAGAATATGCTTCAGGGTGGCACCAGAGGGGCACCCCCAAGCCTGAGTATAGGGAGAAGCTCTGTCCCTCACCTGCTAGAGCTCAACCGTATTTTCACCTTACTGACGTATGCACATCTGTACAACAGATGTGCTGGCATCCAGTGCCAGTATGAGGAAATGACAGGAGAGTCGAGAGAAGCCACCAGAAATGATGCCAACATGCTCCTCAGACCAAGGGACCATGGGGGGTTGCAGGGAGGGCACAGAGACAGGACCAGCCCTACCCTCAGCCTCCCCAGAGCCCCAGGATACTCTGGCTGCTGAGGGAGCCATGTGCCCCTTGCCCTGCCCTATGGGAGAGTTCCTCTGGCCACTGGGGACCAGAGGGATTGGCAGAGAACCTTCGCAGAGATGAACCATGGCCAGCTCTGGTGTGCAGTACATGAAGGGAGGAAGACACGTGACTTTCCATCTTGACTCCTGCCCTTGGACCTGGGACATCTTTGTGGGGGATGTCTGGGGCCACAGCCAGACTTTTTTTTTTTGCCAGTGTTTTACAGTCAGGTCCAGATAATACTTCACTAGCTACTGATGTTGACTGGCTATTCAAGCTTGACCCAAGAACCATGCCTGAGCCTCAGGCTGCACTTAGAATTCAGCATCTCTAACCCAGCACCTTGTCCAAAGCCATAACCTCCTGAGGTGGTGCTGACACCACCATGCGATGTCTTTTCCCAGGTCTAGACTCCATGAGGAATGCACAGCTCCCGGTGTGCTGGGCTGACAGCAGGCACATGCGCAGGGCTGAGTGTGTGTCACCTGATGTCACCTGTGCATCGAGCATTTGTGATACACAAGTTCCCTTGAGCTGTGCACTCTGGTCCTTTCTCCGCAGTTGAAGGGCTGAGCTCTGGCTTCCTCGCAGGGCTGCAGAACCCTTTGTTTCCTTTTCCTGTGTTGGCATGTGGAAAGGGCTCTAAGTGCTGGCCAGGCTGACGGGTCATTCAGGGGCCTTTCTGTAGTGACAAGAGTGCCTATGGGCACAAGGTGTGGCTGAGGCCGGCGGGGGGGGTGGGGTGGTGGCTGGCCCCTGACCCAGGGGAGAACTAAGGCTGGGCTGTTCCTGGAGGAGTATAACTATCTTGTTTCTCTTGCTCTCAGCCCTGATGAAGAATCCTCTCAGAGGTTCATTCCCTTTGTTGGGGTGAGTATTACCCGCTTCACTCCCTGGCAGCCTACCAAGGTGCTTGTCACCACAGTACCTTGGTATCTGCCCACATGTACCAGAGTCTTCCTCATCATGTGAAGCAACCAAGGACTGCTAATTCCTTCTCATGAAGCCCCTTGTTTCCTCCTTCATTTTTGGTGGGGGAGCTGTCGATTCCCATAGTGAAAGCATGGATGGAAGTGGGGGGTATTGTTAGGCAGTGTCAGCTCTGCACCCAGGAGAGGAGGGTGAGCCTCTGGTAGCTTTGCTTAGTCAGGTCTGCTCCTCCAGGCATAGGTTAGGCATGGCTGTGAATGTGCGCATTTCATTTCCTCCCTCTGCCCAGAACTGAGGACTGAGGCTCTCCTCAGCCTCATTTTCACCTTCCCGGAGCCTTTTTATCCCCAGCATAACGTCCGTTCTGTCGTGAGGTCTCTACAGCAGCATGACACAGATTCCAGGCAGTGGCAGTGTGAGGTGTCTGCAGTGAGAGCTGACCCCCTAGGAGAGTCAGAACTCCAGAGCATCCTACCTAGAGGCCTTCTGTAGTGGCAGGTGTACTCAGTGGGCACCGAGGGAGCCAAGGTCCTCAATTTGGTGTTGGAATTTACTCTGAATTGACAAAGCTTTATGTGACTCGTGACCTCCATTCTGGATGGTGTCAGCGCCTGTGCCACATCAACCCATACAGTGTTATTAAGCAGTAGCATCCCTCATGTTAGTGTCCTAGTCTACCAGGTCAGTTGAGCTTGGAGTTGCAACTACCCAGAGGTAGGCTCTACCCCATAGATGGGAGGGTGCTGAGCCCCATTTCCCATGCTGTGGGACACAGGAGCCTACCCCAGATGAGCTCAGAGGTGGGTACCTGAGAAAGGGCAGTGGGGCTGCCTGACACTCCCCAGCTACCTCTAGCCAGCATCTGTTACTTCTCAGGTTGTGAAGGTTGGAATTGTGGAACCATCCTCAGCCACATCAGGTAACCTCATCCCTTTCAGAGGACTGGGAATGGCCCTCTGGACAGGTGGTCCTTCTGGTCTTAGGGACCAGCACATTGCTGCTGCTTCTCCTGTCCCCACAAAACCTCAAGGCAAATGGGGCTGTTTTCCCAGCCAAGGAAGAGAATCTCCTGCCTTCCCCACAGACCACTCTGCCCACCCTACTTGCCCTAAGGGGCCACCTCTCTTTGTCCAGTCTCCAGTCAGCTATGGGGCCAAAACAGAAGGTCTCACCACTGGCCTGTGACTCTTCCTTAAAGGTGATTCGGATGATGCAGCCCCTTCAGGCTCCAGCGTGCTCTCATCTACACCACCCTCTGCTTCTACATCTCCTGCAGCCAAGGAGGCTTCACCCACCCCACCCTCTTCCCCTTCAGTGAGTGGAGGCCTGTCTTCCCCCAGGTAAACACATGGCTTTCATCTTACTTGTTCTAAGGTATCATCTACCCCTCGTGGGCTTAGCTTGTCAGAGCTGTTGAGGGCAGGTGCTGGTGAAAGGCTGGTGGAGGTCTTGTAGGGGATGCTAAGGGCTGTGATCAGCTGCCGTAGAGCCAGGGAGGGAGTAGCTAGTGTCTTTCATTGAGCCCTGCGAGAACAGGAGCCATGGTAAATGAACTTGGGACTTACTGACTCTGAATACAGCTTTGCACAGGTAGACTGTCAGAAGCAGAGCCGAGGCAGGGAGGTGCAGGAGGCAGCTTTTTAGATCCCACACTGCTGAGCTGAGGTCCACCATGCCATGTAGGTTTTGAGCAGAACTCATCCAAACAACAAAGCTGCACAGGAGGAGAGGGTCCCTGGTGCCACATGGTCTTAAGGTCCAATCAGATTGCTGGCTCCTTGTCAGGGCTCTTCTAGCTACCAGCTCACACCAGCCACTCCAGCTCTGATGAGGCCATTTATCTGGGCCCCAGGAGAGTAAATGTGCGGGCCACCTGTACATGGCAGCAGAGCAGGCCATAGGTGCAAACAGCATCCCAGCAGAAAGGGGGGAGCTCAGTTCTACAGGACTTTGCACAGTTCGCTGGTCAGCAAGTCAGGGCAGGTGCTGGCCATGCCTCCTTGCCTGTGATGGCACAGTAATGCTCTGTTGTCATGGGTGTGAGCACTTTCCTCTGCCTTCCACAGCCAGGGGATCGGTGCCGAGCTCATGGGGCTGCAGGTGGACTACTGGACAGCCGTACAGCCCACGGACAGGAAGAGAGATGCCGAGAAGAAGGACCTCCCCACCACCAAAAACACGCTCAAGTGCACTTTCCGGTCCCTCCAGGTCAGCAGGCTGCCCAGCAGTGGCGAGGCTGCACCCACACCCACCATGTCCATGACCGTGGTCACCAAGGAGAAGAACAAGAAGGGTGAGGTGGGGTGCACTGAGCAGGGCTGGACAGAGGGAAGAGGGCAGCTTGGGTGATTGTTGGGGATGGGACGATTTACCCCCCCAGGCAAGCTCCTAGTAAGTGCACAGGTGTTAGCCAACAGCTCACCTCAGAAGGGGCTGTGGCCCCTGAGTCTTGGAGACACTGAGGCTCTGGGCAGCTTCTGGCCTTGGATGGAATAATTACAGGCCGTGGAAGGTGTTGTGGTCATAGCAGGGAGCTGGATCCCAGATGAGCAGGGGCCAACTGAGTCTCCATGGCTGCTGTTTCTTATCCTGCCTGCTGTGGGGGGGCTCTGGCCAGCCTGGCCCCAAAGGAGCGCTGGAGCAACACAGCTTTTTTCTTCCCAGTGATGTTTTTGCCCAAGAAAACAAAGGACAAGGACGTGGAGTCTAAAAGCCAGTGCATTGAGGGCATCAGCCGCCTGATCTGCACAGCCAAGCACCAACAGAACATGCTTCGGGGTGAGCGTGGGCCAGGGGGGCATTCCATGGGGTGCTGGGGCGTGGGCCAAGGGGGCGCTCCATGGGGTGCTGGGCGCGTGGGCCAGGGGTCACTCCATGGGGTGCTGTGGCGTGGGCCAGGGGGGCGCTCCATGGGGTGCTGGGGGAATCAGTCTAGGCTCAAGGTCCTTTTTGGTTCTACCTGTAAACTGAATGCAGAGCAAAGCAGATGGCTGGCTTTCCACACCCAGTGCAAGAATCAGTGTTTGGCTATGAAAGGCACATTACAAAATACACCCAGACATGTCTTGATAAGTTACCTCTATTGCATCTAATAGCTTTTCAAATTCATTTTTTTGTTTGTTTGTTTGTTTGTTTTGTTTTGTTTCTGTCTTTTTGAAGCAGGGTCTCCCTGTAGCCCCAGCTGCCCTGGAACTCACTATGTAGATCAGACAGGCCTTGAACTCACAGAGATCCGCCTGCCTCTGCCTCCCAAGTGCTGGGATTGAAGGGGTGCGCCACCACGCCTGGCGATATACTACCTTTTCTAAATAAGGTGTCAATTTAAAAATACTTAGACTATTACTATATTTGTAGAAATCAGCTTTTATTATCAGAAGAAGCATTCAGTTGTCACCATACGTTGTTTGCATAGATTTTTTGGCTTTTTGAGACAGGGTCTCCCTGTAGCCCCAGCCGGCCTGGAACTCACAGAGATCCACCTGCCTCTGCCTCCCGAGTGCTGGGATTAAAGGTGTGCAGTTACCACACCTGGCCTCAACTAATTTTTTTAATCCTTTCTGTGTTTTTTAACTGATGGAGATTTGGGAAACAGGAAAGTACTGAGGATTGAACCTAGGACCCCAGGCATGCTAGGCAGGTGTTCTGCTTCTAAGCTACACCCTAGTCTCATCTTTCTGCATTCTAAAGGTTGACTTGTGTACTTAGTGTTTCATGGAGGCTGTGCAAGAAGTGCATTCAGAGTGCAGGACTTCAGGGTTTCTTTGTGAAATAGGGTCGTTGGGTAGAGATTAGGTCACCTCGGTCTTCCCATGGCCACCTCTGGAAGTGCAGGTGTTTTAAGTGGGACCCCCTGTGAGGTGGACCTGGCATAGATGAGCCATGCTTGGCTGAAGTGTGGCCCAGACTGCCCTTGCCACCAGTTCCCCTGGGAGATGGGCCCACCATAGCACTAAGTTTTCAGAGGGCAAGTGGCAGAAAGGGCCTGTAAGCAGGGCTTCCTCCAGCTTCAAGCTTACCCTGCTCCCTGGAGGTAGTCCACCTTCTCAGGTGGTCCCCCGCCAGGTGGGCAGGCAGTCAGGTGGCCCTCTCCCACAGTCCTCATCGACGGCGTGGAGTGCAGCGACGTCAAGTTCTTCCAGCTGGCTGCCCAGTGGTCCTCCCATGTGAAGCACTTCCCCATCTGCATCTTTGGACACTCCAAGGCCACCTTCTAAAACCCCATCCACGGAGGGGCTGACGCAGGACAGTGGAGGGGCCTGTCCTGCCTTGTGTCGGCCACTGATGGAGGGGAAGCTGTGTTTTTGTTAACACTTGGTTACTACAGAGACAGACTCTTAAAAACACAAAGAAACAGTCTTAAGTATGAATGTGCTCATGGCCCAGAAACCAAGGGGCAGCTAGCTCCTTGGGGTACTGAGTAACTTGGCTCTGCTTATTAACCAGAATATGTGGCCAAGAGGGAAGCTGGTAAGAAGGGAGGTGAGCTCTGGCTTCAGGAAACTCCAGAACCACAAGCAAGAAGTGTTCTTGCCTTTATGTCCTGTCCTCCCCTGATAGCAGGATTCTGCTTCTTTGGGGAGCCTGGGGCAGGCACAGGCTTTGGAGCTTGGTGGCCAGAGGCTGAGGGTCACAGGCACATTTGGTCCCCTAGCCTGGGACATCAGCCCCCAACACCCCATGCGTGGCTCCCAATAAACTCCAGCCTCGTGGTGGAGATTTTATAGTAGCAGATCTTTCTAATGCTCTCAAATACATGTGACGATGTAGCTGCCAGGCAGATGTTGCTCTTGTGAAGTCCCCTTGGGCTGGGCAGAGCCAGCAGGCCTCACCCTTCCTCTGGCTCCAGTTCCAGAGGTACTGCTAGGCTTCTGCAGATCCTGCTGCCCCAGATTAAGCCTCTCAGACCTAGGTGGTCCTTGCAAATGTCCCAGTGTCTGTCCTGGAAATGGGAGACACTGATGGGGTCTGAGGCCTGCTCTGCTATGCCCTTCCACCCTTATCCTGCCTGCTGGACAGGAGCATCCAGGACTGCCCATGTGGGTCTCTGTGTTAAGATTCAGGGTTGTGAACTGGGGACAGGCAACTAGGTGTGTGTACGTACGTTTGTGTGTGTGTGTGTGTGTGTGTGTGTGTGTGTGTGTGTCT